ATATTAACTAAAAATATTTAACATACAATTGGAGGGACCCCCTAATTTCTTCTAAAGGCCAAAAAATGAAAAAAAAAGAAAGAGAAAAACTCAATCCTCCTGACCAGGTCCCTTGTAGGGAGAGAAAAGCAGTCTTTCTTCAAGTGCTTTGTTGGGATCAGAGAGGAAGCATTTGATGCTGTCTTTCCCTCATGCTCCTTTCAACTGATGAACTCCCTTCCCCAAGTATCCTGTGGACCAGCCCCAGCCCGACTGTCCTTGTAGACCTTCTCCGAGCCTTACACATCATCCAACTGGAGAATGCTGTGTATTTAAAAAAAAAGAAAGAAAAAAAGAAAGAGGGGGGAAGCGGGAGGGTGGGGGGGGGGGTTAGGGGCGTAGGAAAGGATTAAGGTGTGGAATACTATTCTGTGCAACCTATCACCTCAGACAGAGGACGACAAACCATTGCAGGGCAGCCAGGTCAGGAGCTCTGGCCTTACCCAACTCCATATCATCCCAACAAGGACAGATTTTGCATCAGTGATTCAGGCTTTCCCTGTGGCTACACCTTGACACAAATCAATTCTTGCTAGCTCAGCAGGGTTGCCAGGAACATCCTCACTGTGTCCTCATAGACTACGTCTGCCATGACACAGGACCACAGATTGGGTGGAAGGTTCCTGATGCCTCCTGGCTCAGTACCCACTCTGTCTTAGCAGAGCTCCAAGGAGGACATCATTGAGGTGCTGGCCCATGGACCCAACTACACCACCTACGGGGTCAGGGTGCAGGTGCACCAGGCTGAAGACACAGACCAGTGCCTGTCTGAGGTGAGTGCTGGCCTTGAGGGTCTCTACACCCATAAGCCCAACACCACCTGGCATTGCCCGCAACCCACACTCAAATCTGGGGACTCCCCGGGCACCCTCCCAGGACTCTCCATAGTGTCCCACAGCCCCAAGAAAAAGAAATGCGGATCCCCACGCCCCCCTCCAGCTACAGGGGACGGTAGAGAGACGCTCCTCACATATTTGTAGAAATATCTGAGACAGAAATGTTGTCTGACTTCACAGTGGACCGTGAGCACTCCGGCCTTTCGCTGTTTGTGTTGCTTAACCTACACTTGCCACGTATCCTCTGGAGCACTCAGCTCCACTGTCCTTGCAGACCTGGTCCAATCGGGGTGGTCGTTTGCCCAGCGATGCAGCCTTTCAGTGGCGTTGGACATGGGCCTAATGCAGTTCAGCTGCCATGTCAGCAGTGCTGCCCAGAACACTGATGTGTGTCGGAATGGACTGTGTTAGGTTGCTTGCTTGGGCTGCCATAACATAGGACCACACTGGGTGGTGTTCACAGCAGACATTCATTTTCTCACAATTCCGGAGGCTAGAAGTGAGAGGTGGTGCTGTCAGCGGGGCTGGTATCTCCTGAGGGCGTTGCTCCTCAGCTTGTAGATGGCTGTCTTCTCTCTGTGTGTCACATGGACTCCCCTCTGCACTGCCACGTGCCCTCCCCTCCTCTTCTAAGGACACTGTTCAGATTAGATGAAGACCCACACCACTAAATTCACGTCACCCGAATGACTTGCTTGAAGACTAAAACTCAAATGCAGACACATGATCAAGTTCTAGGGGTTGCAAAGTCATGGGATTAGGGGTACACGAGTCAGAGCACAGTACATGGAATGTCCCCGGCTGGCTGATGGACGCCCACTGCTGGTGGAAGGACGAGCACATGTACAATTTGAACGGCTGCAGGCAGATTCCAAACCCAAAGGGCTGTGGCAGGGACGTTGCCAACAGCAGTTTCTGATGATGGCTGCTGCCTTGCTCCCAGCCTGGCCCGGGAAATCTCACTCATTGAAATTTTCACCTGGCCGACGTCAAGTTGTCCAACTCAAACACAGTGTTCCTTCCCTGGCAATGGCCTCAGGGGGACAGTGAGGCACCTGTCACTTTTCACCCACCACATGGATTAGCTCCTCCTCCCCGAGTCCTCTGGTCTGATTCCTGCCCCGTGATCGCCTTTCTCCCATCTACAGTCTCCAGGCATTTGCCACCTTGCCGAACCTGTGATCTCCATAATGAGGGTCTTAAAATGCCCTTGAATGTAAAAGGATAAAACATAACTTTCTCTTTTGAAGTCAAAGGCTTTCATAGGCCATGTCTACCCTGTACACTGTTCCCACGCTGGGGAGGGGAAATGTTCCCACACCCTTTCCACCCATGTCAGCATCAGGTAAGTCTCGGGTACCTGAGAGGGAATGTCATGCAGGACAGTACCCAGTTCTGACCTGCATGCCCTTGAGCAGACATCTGATATTTCCTAAGCAAGCCTCTGTGTTCTCATCTGTATAACGAGGACGTTTCTTGAGGACTCACAGGGCCCGGGCTCTGCATTTGGACTATTACTACTAGGAGGTTTGTTGATCCTCAGCTGTTGGGAACGGGGGAAGAAAAAAACATGCCGAGAAGGTGGCAATTGTATGAACATGCACGGAAATTCAGTGGCACTTTGAAGACCTAGAACCTCGTCCGGCCGGGGCACTCCTGTCCCGCCTCTTGCACACGTGCCAGTGGGGCTGGGACCTCCCGAGTGAGCTCCAAACCTCCATCCTTGTGGGATTCACGGTCATGCCGCTGACATGGATGTCCTTCCTTCTCCCACCCAGTGTGCAGCTGAGCGAACTGGTAACCTGCATGAGTCCTGCAGGATGCAGGCCCTCCAGGAAGGCACCTCGGAGAAGGTGGCCATGGCCATGGTACCAGCTTTCCCGGGGGGAATCGTCCCCCATGTCTCCACGCTGGCCCTCTCCAGAGCCCAGCGGTTCCTGGACGAGCTTTTCACTAGGTGAGCACACACTCGTGACTCTGCCCACTGCTAGCTCTGAGGCTGAAACGTCACCACATCTTCCCGAGTCTCAGGATGCTCCTCTGAAATGTGGGCTGCTGCTTGGTCAACCTCATAGCACTGCTATGGGGACAAGCCATGGCAGGTCTCACCTGCTCCCTGGCTCTGCAGACAGGGTAGCTGGACGTGCGGCGGTTGTTGGTGGCAATTCTTTCACTCTGTCCCACGGAAAGAACTCTGACACACCCATCAGTGGCCTGTGGCATCGGAGGGTGGAAAAGCACATGGAAAGCAACCTGTTAAGCAGTGTGAGATGTCACCTAGCCGGTCCTGGTCCTTGGTGTAGCCACAGTGGGGATTTCTGGGGAGAGCAGGGGCCCAGGCCCACTCAGATGTATGGCATGCTTCTGGTTGGAGTTTCTTTACTCGACAATGTGCATGCACTTTTGGAGCCACTTAGCCTGACTCGAGGAATGAAGCAGACACAATCCCTGGGCCACAGTTCTGGGCAATGGGTCCAGCAGTCACGCTGTCCATCATTCGCAGGTCGTGTCCACCATCCATCAGGGCTGATGCCATCAGAGCGTTTTTTCCATCTGGAGGCACCCCTCCTTACAATGACTGGGGTGACACAGCGCAAGACCAAGTCATAAAGTGAGTGGTCTCCGGGTCCGGAAAGAGGGCCCCCAGAGTCAGCATAGTGGGTACTCTGTTTGTGGGGGGGAGGGTGCCTGGCAGAACCCTAATCTTACACATCATCTGATTCCCAAGAAAGGCCTGAGCTCTGGAGTCTTCTATTCCAGGAGGACAGGAGTCAAAGACGACAGTGGGTGGGGTCCCGGGCCTTGTAGACCCAGAGGGGACGCTGGGCTGAGTTGTCCCTCAGAGTCCCCTCCCCCCCAGAGACCCACCCCGCGCTGCCTGCCCCTCTCCATATCCATCTCCCCTGACCACCGTGGCCAGGCTCAGAATAGGACTGTGGTGAGCAGGCTGCTCACAAGTCTGTCTCAGTCCTCAGCCCAGATGCCCAGGGCCTGGAGGGTGGGGCTGGGCAGTGCACTGGACCTTCAGGAGAGCCGCCAGTGGGAAGAAGAGTCTCACACAGACTCCGTGTTGAACCTGCTGGATATGGGTCCCACACCTGCTACAACCAGGACAGCCACACAGGGGCCGGGGGTGGCATGGGGCTGTGCCCTGGGTGGGCAAGGGGGGCCTGCACAGAGGCTCCGATCTAAGCAATTGTGCCATGGGAGGGCAGAGTGGAAGGAAAGACCAGGACTCAGACTCTGCTGCCCACCTGCCTCTCCCCAGGGCCTTTGCTGCGATGGTGGGGACCTGGCTGGACCAGGTCCAGGGTTTGGGACAGCCCCTTCCTATCGCCTGTTTCGAGGCAGAGCAGGCCTTGGTGCCCGTCAACTCCCCTGCCTCACACCTGGTGGGCCAGGCCCAAAGTCAATGGTTGGAGCTGCAGCATCTGGAGCCCACCGAGGCAACTCCACAAGGTGAGGGGCACAGATCATCTGGGCAGATCATCTGGGGAGGGCAGGCTCACGGGCTGGAGCTCCCTTAAAGGCAGTGGGCCTCTTGCCTGTCTGCGCAAAGTCACAGAAAAGCCAGGTGTGTGAGTCAATCTGTCTCTCTCTCCTGCTCCAGGTCCACGCCCTGAGCTCCAGAGCTCTCCCGAGACAGAGAAAGGGCCTGCTCAGGGGCCAGAGCCTGGTCCAAGGATAGGCCCTGCCCTGGCCTGGCCTCGCCCTAGGCAGTACCTGAAGCCATTATGGAGCCACCTACTGGCTGTGCTGGAAGCCTTCTCTCTTGCTGTCAGAAGAGTTCTAGGCGATTATCTTAAATAATTCAGAGGAATACATCCCTAATGATAATTTCTAAAAGTACCTACCTATTTATGTAGACTATTTCCCGTTAAGTTAAATACTCTTTTTGAATAAAAAATTACTCTTTTTGAATAAAAAATACCATGTCTACTCTTGTCTTGTACCTATACGGATACACACACCATACACACACACACACACACACACACATGTACCCATATATGCTGAAAGGATGCTCACTGTATAATACAGTTTTAAAATAAGTTTTGAAACATTTAATTTTTTTCTGCTGATTACTATGTATACGCTGATAAAATGGGGAAATAAAATCTGGATAAATATACACCAAAATGTTAACACTACTGACTGTCAGAAGTGAAACTACTAGAAGTGACAGCTTCTTCTCATTTTGCTTCATGTATAGGTTCTGGTTGACACAAGGATCATACCTCCAATAGACAGATAGACAGTAGAGAGAGGAAGGGAGAGGCAGAGAAACATAGAGGAGAGGCGCATCAGCCGCCTCCTGCCCACCCCCGACATGGAAATAACCGCAGAACCCTGCCATGTGCCCTCCCTGGGAACTGATCCGGAAACCTTTCAGTGCAAGGGATAGATGGCCCATCTAATGAGCCACATCAGCCGGGGCTAGACTCAATCTATATTTTAAAAATGCACTTTTTTGACTTCAGGGAGTTAGAAAGGGCGAGACAGAAACGTAAACGATGAGACAGAAGCATTGATCGGTTGCCTCCTTCACGACCCCTATTGGTGATCCAGTCTGCAACCCGGGCCTGTGCCCTGACCCGGAATCAAACCAACTGTGCACTCCTACCCGGTTCGACCACTGGGCGACACTGGCCAGACTCAATCAAATCTTTTGAAACTTCCCCAAGTGCCAATTTGTATCTTGCAATGGTGTCATGAAAGGAAAATTGACTTAATGGGGGGCATCCTACTTCCCTCCTTGTTTAGCTGGATTTGCTATTTGGCCAGAAACAACCACTACACTAGGTCTTAACCGTATTTAAAATCACTAGGAAGCGCAAGACCATTGCTTTGGTTGCAACAGGAGTAACTCAACACAACTCCCTCCACTAAACACTTCCTTAATCATTTCCCTGCCTCCATGAGCCCAGAATTTAACTCACCAGTCAAACTCAGCTTAGGAAGAGGCAATGGTTCCACTGGAACAGGACGGTACGGAAACAAGGTACACAGCCCTGGTTCTACCGGAAGGGCCATAGTTCACTGACACCACCACTGCAACAATCTATAATTAAATGAAAACCACCATGTCAGAAAATTCTAAGCAGAAAAGGACAAAGGAATGCCACTGGTGAGTATTGCAAAAGGAGGCACGCTGTGCAAGACGGATCCATTCAGTGCGGTGGCCCAACCATCCAAAGCTCATCGTTCTCATGAGAACACTCTTGCTCTGAGGGGAGACACATTTCCTTTCTTTCATTTCATATTTGCTTTCAAGGCAAACCAGCTGGTCAATACACCAAAACAACACTCCTCAGGTATCCAACAAGAGACACCTAAATGTCTCCCTGAATTTTAAGTCTTACTAAATTTGAATTAATAAAAATTTCATTTTAAAGTGATATGTGGCTGCCGGGCTGGCATGGCTCAGTGCTGGAGCGTCGACCCCAGAACCAAGGGATCCCCGTTTCATTCCCAGTCACGGCCCGTACCGTGGTTGCGCGCTAGGGGATATGTGACTGATGATGTTCTCTCATCATTGATGTTTCTCTCTCCCCTTCCCCAGCCTCCTCTCGCCCCCCTCACTCTTTCCACCTCTCTCCCGCTATCTTTGTTCCCTTTCCCTTCCTCTCTCTGAGATCAATAAAAACATATACGTCTAACAAGTTATATGTGGATAATGAAGACCCTATGAGACAGGGAACTTCAAGACACTAGGAAACCGTTGTGAAGAAACTGTCATCCCTGAATCTCGGGTCACCTTTCCTCCACAAGTCCACACAGAAGAAATGTACGGGGCCATTAGTGATCCCAGTAGAAACAGGAAGCTCACCATCAGACACATCCCCACTGCCCTTCCCCCTCACCACCTCCTCCTGGGCTGAGGCACCTCCTTCAGGACCAGTTGGACATGAAACTGCCCCATGTCCCTTGCAATTCGGCCTGTTCTGCCCAAGGGTTCACGCAAGAGTCTCATAGTTGATTTCTGAGACACTCTTTTCCTCCCTGATATAAAGCACAAGAGCGAAGAGAGGATTTTTTTCCTCTCGTTGATGCTGGGAGCTTACCCTGACATCATTGAGCACCTGAATTCAATATTGGATCCACCTACCTGTGCACTTGTGATTTTGTGACAAAGACAAATCCCTACTGTTAGCTTCATCACTATTCTGCTGCCTATGATTCTCAGCTTCCACACTGAATGAGATCCTTAACACTCCCGAGGGTGGACAAGGTTGTAGCATTGCATGGTACTGGAAACAACAACAACAACAACAACAACAACAAAAACGAAAACAAAAACAATAAACTATGGGAGCAGAGAGCAGGACAGGGGAAAGAGGGGAGGTGCCTGAAAGAACACCAGACTTCCGCCCACTCCAGAGGGAGACGTTGGGACACAGGGCATGGCACAGCTCTAAGCTGGGCTGGGAGAGTGTGATGCCAATCAGGATCTCCAAGTGTGACCACAGAAAAGGGGTGAGGGAGAGACAAGACTGCAAAAGAAGCTAAGGTCAGATCATGGAGGGCCTGGAAGGACACGCTAAGGATTAGGGACTCATTTCTAAAGGCCATCGGAGACCACTGTTAGTTTTCATAAGAGACAGGATTATATTTACATTTTCAAAAGATCCTTCGGGCTGCTGGCAGAGAATGCTTAGGGACCCGGCGATACAGGAGGTTGACAGGTCACAGAGAACACCTGGTATCCGTGGGCCCTGAAGTCAATGTGGCTTAGTACTCTTGGTGCTAACCTTGATGGCTTCACACTAGAATCGTTGTATCAGGATGTCAAGGTTGAAATCTATCCCACTCATGGGACTTGACAGGTTATGTCTAGAAGTTACAATAAAGTAGCACAATATGCCGTATCTTTTCTCCGACCAAGACACTCTCAGAACAAAGTGGAGAACTTACCAAAACCAAGGTGTACTAAAGTGGTAAGCAAAAGGGTGTGGACTCAGCTTCAAGACAGAACAACAGGTCAGTGGCACAGACAGAGACGCACACACACAGAGCAAGCGAGAGAGAGGCTGGGAGGAAGGAAGGGACCTCAAGAACGAGAGTACAAGACAAGTGACAGGACCTGACACCCCATCAGCTGGGCCGTCCTCTATGTTGTTCAGAAGCCAGATACTGAGCACTCAGCGCACACACAAGGATGTTCCCACCAGGAGGCTGGACTCCCTCGAAGCCACTGTGAAGGCCCCTAAGGCTTGGGCCCACATGAGGCACTTGTCCGAGGCTAAGTTTAACAAGAGACCACGGTGAGGTTTTAGGACAGTGAGTGACCATATCTGAATTTCCTGTCATTTCCAACCCTTAAAGGTACAGACTTGAAAATGAGGCCCACATGAGCAGTGACTTCCCTGAGATCAGGGGCTGGGCCCAGGGCGCTTTTGTCTAGTGTTTCATGCTGTGTCCCACTCATTCTTGTCATCTTCCACCTCTATGTTTGTGGACCAGATTCATGGGACACCAGCCCACAGCTGTCCGGGGCCTTGTCCCATCTGCACCTGGTGACTTCCTATGGAAATGGTGTCTAGCATCATCCTCACTGGGCAGTTTGGGAGCCTGGGGGAGGCCCTGAGAGGCAAAGAGGCTTCCCCCAGGGCACAGAACACGTAAGAAAAAGGAGGTGTGAACTCGGCTTTCTCCCCCAAACCGGGGACACAGGGCATGGAACAGCTCTAAGCTGGGCTGGGAGAGTGTGATGCCAATCAGGATCTCAAAGTGTGACCACAGAAAAGGGGTGAGGGAGAGACAAGACTGCCAAAGAAGCTAAGGTCCGATCATGGAGGGCCTGGACGGACACGCTAAGGATTTGGGACTCATTTCTCGTTCTTCCCAGGGAGCTCGGGGGGAGGGCTGTGTTGGATGCTTGTATACATGTATGGAGATAACATGGGCCAGAAGGTGAGAGGTCAGCAGCCCAGAGGGGCCTTCCGCTGGCTCTGATTGGAGGAAGGGGCACAGCTCATGGAACCTTGAAGGGGTGACCTCACTTCCCTGGGGACAGATCCCCAACAGAAATGGGCACCGTGCTAACCAGGTACCCACATTCTAGAGACAACTGCCTTTCCAGGTCACTTGAGTGGAGAAGGTCAGGAGACCAGGATGTGTCTCTTTTGCTTCCCGTTTTTCCGACGCTCTGGGCAGAAGAAAGCCCAGGGTGAGAGATGTTCCTCTTGCTGTAGAAACAGGCGCAAGCGCCACCACAGATACCCCTCGCCCTCTGGCACGAGGCACACACAGGTAACCGAGGCCAGGCCCTTTCAGGTCAAACTTGGGCGCCAACTGGGGGTCACACCAGGGGTTAGCCCCACACCCCATTGGGGTGTCCCATTGGGGTGTGAGTGTGTGTGTGTGGGTGTGTGTGTGTGTGTCCCCAGAATGGTGAGGGGAAGATAGCGGGGGATGAGGGATGCTCATCCCGGGCTCAGGAGCGGGTTGGTAAGTGTCAGAAGCCTGGAGGGTGTAGGAGGGTGTGTCATGTTCACTGCCCAGGTCATGGCTCACAGGAAGGGAAGCTGAGTGCTGGGGTCGGAGCTCCGCTACCCACTTGTGAATGGCAGGGGTGCTCAAGCGGTCATCAACTTCACTCCCTGCCTGGAGGTCTTTGCAGATGCCCCTCTCTGCCTCATCTGGGGAGCAGAGTGGGTGATGGGCATCTTCCCCACTGTAATGCCCGGGCCCCTGATGCTTCCTGGCCTGGTATCGGGCTGTGTCTTTGCAGAGCTCCAACAAGGGCAGCGTAGAGGAGCTGGCTGACAGGTTCACTTATGCCCTCAACGGGTACAAAGGACAAGTGCGTCAGGACAGGGAAACCGTCCAGTGCCAAACTGAGGTGAGAGCTGGCCCACACCCAGGACCCTGAGGTGACTGGGGTGGGACCAGAAGTCAGGCTCAAATCTGGGGCCTCAAAGTTCTCACAGGCCCACTCCCAAAGTGATCTGTACCTTCAATCCTCCTGACCAGGTCCCTTGTAGGGGAGAAAAGCAGTCTTTCTTCAAGTGCTTGTTGGGATCAGAGAGGAAGCATTTGTTGCTGTCTTTGCCTCATGCTCCTTTCAACTGATGAACTCCCTTCCCCAAGTATCCTGTGGACCAGCCCCAGCCCGACTGTCCTTGTAGACCTTCTCCAAGCCTTACACATCATCCAACTGGAGAATGCTGTGTATTAAAAAAAAAAGAAAGAAAAAAAGAAAGAGGGGGGAAGCGGGAGGGTGGGGGGGGTTAGGGGCGTAGGAAAGGATTAAGGTGTGGAATACTATTCTGTGCAACCTATCACCTCAGACAGAGGACGACAAACCATTGCAGGGCAGCCAGGTCAGGAGCTCTGGCCGTACCCAACTCCATATCATCCCAACAAGGACAGATTTTGCATCAGTGATTCAGGCTTTCCCTGTGGCTACACCTTGACACAAATCAATTCTTGCTAGCTCAGCAGGGTTGCCAGGAACATCCTCACTGTGTCCTCATAGACTACGTCTGCCATGACACAGGACCACAGATTGGGTGGAAGGTTCCTGATGCCTCCTGGCTCAGTACCCACTCTGTCTTAGCAGAGCTCCAAGGAGGACATCATTGAGGTGCTGGCCCATGGACCCAACTACACCACCTACGGGGTCAGGGTGCAGGTGCACCAGGCTGAAGACACAGACCAGTGCCTGTCTGAGGTGAGTGCTGGCCTTGAGGGTCTCTACACCCATAAGCCCAACACCACCTGGCATTGCCCGCAACCCACACTCAAATCTGGGGACTCCCCGGGCACCCTCCCACGACTCTCCATAGTGTCCCACAGCCCCAAGAAAAAGAAATGCGGATCCCCACGCCCCCCTCCAGCTACAGGGGACGGTAGAGAGACGCTCCTCACATATTTGTAGAAATATCTGAGACAGAAATGTTGTCTGACTTCACAGTGGACCATGAGCACTCCGGCCTTTCGCTGTTTGTGTTGCTTAACCTACACTTGCCACGTATCCTCTGGAGCACTCAGCTCCACTGTCCTTGCAGACCTGGTCCAATCGGGGAGGTCGTTTGCCCAGCGATGCAGCCTTTCAGTGGCGTTGGACATGGGTCTAATGCAGTTCAGCTGCCATGTCAGCAGTGCTGCCCAGAACACTGATGTGTGTCGGAATGGACTGTGTTAGGTTGCTTGCTTGGGCTGCCATAACATAGGACCACACTGGGTGGTGTTCACAGCAGACATTCATTTTCTCACAATTCCGGAGGCTAGAAGTGAGAGGTGGTGCTGTCAGCGGGGCTGGTATCTCCTGAGGGCGTTGCTCCTCAGCTTGTAGATGGCTGTCTTCTCTCTGTGTGTCACATGGACTCCCCTCTGCACTGCCACGTGCCCTCCCCTCCTCTTCTAAGGACACTGTTCAGATTAGATGAAGACCCACACCACTAAATTCACGTCACCCGAATGACTTGCTTGAAGACTAAAACTCAAATGCAGACACATGATCAAGTTCTAGGGGTTGCAAAGTCATGGGATTAGGGGTACACGAGTCAGAGCACAGTACATGGAATGTCCCCGGCTGGCTGATGGACGCCCACTGCTGGTGGAAGGACGAGCACAGGTACAATTTGAATGGCTGCAGGCAGATTCCGAACCCAAAGGGCTGTGGCAGGGACGTTGCCAACAGCAGTTTCTGATGATGGCTGCTGCCTTGCTCCCAGCCTGGCCCGGGAAATCTCAATCATTGAATTTTTCACCTGGCCGACGTCAAGTTGTCCAACTCAAACACAGTGTTCCTTCCCTGGCAATGGCCTCATGGGGACACTGAGGCACCTGTCACTTTTCACCCACCACATGGATTAGCTCCTCTTCCCCGAGTCCTCTGGTCAGATTCCTGCCCCGTGATCGCCTTTCTCCCATCTGCAGTCTCCAGGCATTTGCCACCTTGCGGAATCTGCGATCTCCATAATGAGGGTCTTAAAATGCCCTTTAATGTAAAAGGATAAAACATAACTTTCTCTTTTGAAGTCAAAGGCATTCATAGGCCATATCTACCCTGTACACTGATCCACGCTGGGGAGGGACAAGGTTCCCACACCCTTTCCACCCATGTCAGTAGCAGGTAAGTCTCGGGTACCTGACAGGGAATGTCATGCAGGACAGTTCCCAGTTCTGACCTGCATACCCTTGAGCAGACATTTGATATTTCCTAAGCCTCTGTGTTCTCATCTGTATAACGAGGACGTTTCTTGAGGACTCACAGGGCCCGGGCTCTTCATTTAAACTATTCCTACAAGGAGGTTTGTTGATCCTCAGCTAAAGGGAAGGGGGGAAGGAAAAAACATGCCGAGAAGGTGTCAATTGTATGAACATGCACGGAACTGCAGTGGCACTTTGAAGACCTAGAACCTCGTCCAGCAGGGGCACTCCTGTCCCGCCTCTTGCACACGTCCCAGTGGGGCTGGGACCTCCCGAGCGAGCTCCAAACCTCCATCCTTGTGGGATTCACGGTCATGCCGCTGACAAGGATGTCCTTCCTTCTCCCACCCAGTGTGCAGCTGGGCAAACTGGTAACCTGCATGAGTCCTGCAGGATGCGGGCCCTCTAGGAAGGCACCTTGGAGAAGGTGGCCATGGCCATGGTACCAGCTTTCCCGGGGGGAATCGTCCCCCACGTCTCCACGCTGGCCATTTCCAGAGCCCAAAGGTTCCTGGATGAGCTTTTAACTAGGTGAGCACACACTTGTGACTCTGCCCACTGCTAGCTATGAGGCTTGAAACGTCACCACATCTTCCCGAGTCTCAGGATGCTCCTCTGAAAAGTGGGCTGCTGGGGGGGTCAACCTCATAGCACTGCTGTGGGGACAAGCCATGGCAGGTCTCTCCTGCTCCCTGGCTCTGCAGACAGGGTAGCTGGACGTGCGGCGGTTGTTGGTGGCAATTCTTTCACTCTGTCCCACGGAAAGAACTCTGACACACCCATCAGCGGCCTGTGGCATCGGAGGGTGGAAAAGCACATGGAAAGCAACCTGTTAAGCAGTGTGAGATGTCACCTAGCGGGTCCTGGTCCTTGGTGTAGCCACACTGGGGATTTCTGGGGAGAGCAGAGGCCCAGTCCCACTCAGATGTATGGCATGCTTCTCGTTGGAGTTTCTTTACTCGACAATGTGCATGCACTTTTGGAGCCACTTAGCCTGACTCAAGGAATGAAGCAGACACAATCCCTGGGCCTCAGTTCTGGGCAATGGGTCCAGCAGTCACGCTGTCCATCATTCGCAGGTCGTGTCCACCATCCATCAGGGCTGATGCCATCAGAGCGTTTTTTCCATCTGGAGGCACCCCTCCTTACAATGACCGGGGTGACACAGCGCAAGCCCAAGTCATAAAGTGAGTGGTCTCCAGGTCCAGAAGGAGGGCCCCCAGAGTCAGCATAGTGGGTACTCTGTTTGTGGGCGGGGAGGGTGCAGGGTGCCTGGCAGAACCCTAATCTTACACATCATCTGATTCCCAAGAAAGGCCTGAGCTCTGGAGTCTTCTATTCCAAAAGGACAGGAGTCAATGACGACAGTGGGTGGGGTCCCGGCCCTTGTAGACCCAGAGGGGACGCTGGGCTGAGCTGTCCCTCAGAGTCCCCTCCCCCCCACAGACCCACCCCGCTCTGCCTGCCCCTCTCCATATCCATCTCCCCTGACCACCGTGGCCAGGCTCAGAACAGGATTGTGGTGAGCAGGCTGCTCACAAGTCTGTCTCAGTCCTCAGCCCAGGTGCCCAGGGCCTGGAGGGTGGGGCTGGGCAGTGCACTGGACCTTCAGGAGAGCCGCCAGTGGGAAGAAGAGTCTCACACAGACTCCGTGTTGAACCCGCTGGATCCCACACCTGCTACAACCAGGACAGCCACACAGGGGCTGGGGGTGGCATGGGGCTGTGCCCTGGGTGGGCAAGGGGGGGCCCGCACAGAAGCTCCGATCTAAGCAAGTGTGCCATGGGAGGGCAGAGTGGAAGGAAAGACCAGGACTCAGACTCTGCTGCCCACCTGCCTCTCCCCAGGGCCTTTGCTGCGATGGTGGGGACCTGGCTGGACCAGGTCCAGGGTTTGGGGCAGCCCCTTCCTTTTGCCTGTTTTGAGGCAGAGCAGGCCTTGGTGCCTGTCAACTCCCCTGCCTCACACCTGGTGGGCCACGCCCAAAATCGATGGTTGGAGCTGCAGCATCTGGAGCCCACCCAGGCAACTCCACAAGGTGAGGGGCACTGATCATCGGGGCAGATCATCTGGGGAGGGCAGGCTCACGGGCTGGAGCTCCCTTAAAGGCCGTGGGCATCTTGCCTCTCTGCGCAAAGTCACAGGAAAGCCAGGTGTGTGAGTCAATCTGTCTCTCTCTCCTGCTCCAGGTCCACGCCCTGAGCTCCAGAGCTCTCCAGAGCCAGAGGAAGGGCCTGCTCAGGGGCCAGAGCCTGGTCCAAGGACAGGCCCTGCCCTGGCCTGGCCTGGCCTGAGGCAGTACCTGAAGCCATTATGGAGCCAGCTACTGGCTGTGCTGGAAGCCTGCTCTCGTGCTGTCAGAAGAGTTCTAGGCGATTATCTTAAATAATTCAGAGGACTACATCCCAACTGTACATTTTTAATAGTAAATAATGATAACTTCTAAAAGTACCTACCTATTTATGTAGACTATTTCCCATTAAGTTAAATACTCTTTTTGAATAAAAAAATTGCTGATTAAAAACACGTGTAGACCATGTCTACTCTTGTACCTATACGTAATACCATACACCCACACACACACACACACACATATGTACCCATATATGCTGACATGGAAGGATGCTCACTGTATAATACAGTTTTAAAATAAGTTTTGAAACATTTAATTTTTTTCTGAATACTATGTATACACTGATAAAATGGGGAAATAAAATCTGGAAAAATATACACCAAAATGTGAACACTACTGAACTGTCAGAAGTGAAACTACTAGAAGTGACAGTTTCTTCTCATTTTGCTTTATGTATAGGTTCTGGTTGACACAAGGATCATACCTCCAATAGACAGATAGACAGTAGAGAGAGGAAGGGAGAGGCAGAGAAACATAGAGGAGAGGCGCATCAGCCGACTCCTGCCCACCCCCGACATGGAATTGACCGCAAAACCCTGCCATGTGCCCTCCCTGGGAACTGATCCGGAAACCTTTCAGTGCAAGGGGAGAGGGCCCATCTAATGAGCCACATCAGCCGGGGCTAGACTCAATATATATTTTAAAAATACACTTTGATTGACTTCAGGGAGGGAGAAAGGGCATGACAGAAACTTAAAGGATGAGAGAGAAGCATTGATCGGTTGCCTCCTTCACGACCCCTGTTGGTGATCCAGTCTGCAACCCGGGCCTGTGCCCTGACCCGGAATCAAACCAACTGTTCACTCCTGCCCGGTTCGACCACTGGGTGACACTGGCCAGACTCAATCAAATCTTTCTAAACTTTCCCAAGTGCCAATTTGTATCTTGCAATGGTGTCATGAAAGGAAAATTGACTTAATGGGGGGCATCCTACTTCCCTCCTTGTTTAGCTGGATTTGCTATTTGGCCAGAAACAACCACTACACTAGGTCTTAACCGTATTTAAAATCACTAGGAAGCGCAAGACCATTGCTTTGGTTGCAACAGGAGTAACTCAAAACAACTCCCTCCACTAAACACTTCCTTAATCATTTCCCTGCCTCCATGAGCCCAGAATTTAACTCACCAGTCAAACTCAGCTTAGGAAGAGGCAATGGTTCCACTGGAACAGGACGGTACGGAAACAAGGTACACAGCCCTGGTTCTACCGGAAGGCCATAGTTCACTGACACCACCACTGCAACAATCTATAAGTAAAATGAAAACCATCATGTCAGGAAATTCTAAGCAGAAAAGGACAAAGGAATGCCACTGGTGAGTATTTCAAAAGGAGGCACGCTGTGCAAGACGGATCCATTCAGTGCGGTGGCCCAACCATCCAAAGCTCATCGTTCTCATGAGAACACTCTTGCTCTGAGGGGAGACACATTTCCTTTCTTTCATTTCATATTTGCTTTCAAGGCAAACCAGCTGGTCAATACACCAAGCCAACACTCCTCAGGTATCCAACAAGAGACACCTAAATGTCTCCCTGAATTTTAAGTCTTACTAAATTTGAATTAATAAAAGTTTCATTTTAAAGTGATATGTGGTTGCCCGGCTGGCATGGCTCAGTGCTTGAGCGTCGACCCCAGAACCAAGGGATCCCCGTTTCATTCCCATTCAGGGCCCGTACCGGGATTGCGCGCTAGGGGCTATGTGACCGATGATGCTCTCTCATCATTGATGTTTCTCTCTCCCCTTCCCCAGCCTCCTCTCCCCCCCCCCCTCACTCTTTCCACCTCTCTCCCGCTATCTTTGTTCCCTTTCCCTTCCTCTCTCTGAGATCAATAAAAACATATACGTCTAACAAGTTATATGTGGATAATATAGACCCTATGAGACAGGGAACTTCAAGACACTAGGAAACCGTTGTGAAGAAACTGTCATCCCTGAATCTCGGGTCACCTTTCCTCCACAAGTCCACACAGAAGAAATGTACGGGGCCATTAGTGATCCCAGTAGAAACAGGAAGCTCACCATCAGACACATCCCCACTGCCCTTCCCCCTCACCACCTCCTCCTGGGCTGAGGCACCTCCTTCAGGAGCAGTTGGACATGAAACTGCCCAATGTCAATTGCAATTTGGCCTGTTCTGCCCAAGGGTTCACGCAAGAGTCTCATAGTTGATTTCTGAGACACTCTTTTCCTCCCTGATATAAAGCACAAGAGCGAAGAGAGGATTTTTTTCCTCTCGTTGATGCTGGGAGCTTACCCTGACATCATTGAGCAGCTGAATTCAATATTGGATCCACCTACCTGTGCACTTGTGATTTTGTGACAAAGACAAATCCCTACTGTTAGCTTCATCACTATTCTGCTGCCTATGATTCTCAGCTTCCACACTGAATGAGATCCTTAACACTCCCGAGGGTGGACAAGGTTGTAGCATTGCATGGTACTGGAAACAACAACAACAACAACAACAAAAACAAAAACAATAAACTATGGGAGCAGAGAGCAGGACAGGGGAAAGAGGGGAGGTGCCTGAAAGAACACCAGACATCCACCGACTCCAGAGGGAGACGTTGGGACACAGGGCATGGCACAGCTCTAAGCTGGGCTGGCAGAGTGTGATGCCAATAAGGATCTCAAAGTGTGACCACAGAAAAGGGGTGAGGGAGAGACAAGACTAAAGGCCATAGGAGACCACTGTTAGTTTTCATAAGAGACAGGATCATATTTACATTTTCAAAAGATCCTTCGGGCTGCCGGCAGAGAATGCTTAGGGACCCGGCGATACTAGAGGTTGACAGGTCACAGACAACACCTGGTATCAGGGGGCCCTGAAGTCAATGTGGCTTAGTACTCTTGGTGCTAACCTTGATGGCTTCACACTAGAATCGTTGTATCAGGAATGTCAAGGTTGAAATCTAGCCCACTCATGGGACTTGACAGGTTATGTCTAGAACAGCCATGGCCAAACTTCGGCCCGTGGGCCGGATCCAGCCCGTTTGAAATTAATAAAACAAACAAACAAAAAAAAGACCGTACCCCTTTATGTAATGATGTTTACTTTGAATTTATATTAGTTCACACAAACACTCCATCTATGCTTTTATTCCGGCCCTCCGGTCCAGTTTAAGAACCCATTGTGGCCCTCGAGTCAAAAAGTTTGCCCACCCCTGGTTTAGAATTTACAATAAAGTAGCACAATATGCCGTATCTTTTCTCCGACCAAGACACTCTCAGAACAAAGTGGAGAACTTACCAAAACCAAGGTGTACTAAAGTGGTAAGCAAAAGGGTGTGGACTCAGCTTCAAGACAGAACAACAGGTCAGTGGCACAGACAGAGACGCACACACACAGAGAAAGCGAGAGAGAGGCTGAGAGGAAGGAAGGGACCTCAAGAACGAGAGTACAAGACAAGTGACAGGACCTGATACCCCATCAGCTGGGCTGTCCTCTATGTTGTTTAGAACCGAGTTTATGACATAGAGTCCAAACATAACAGAAATACAAGCAAATGTCACTATACTGTTCACAGAAGCTATAATGACACAGATGCTTACCCTGATCAATCGTGCATACTTCTTCAGTAGTTCTGAAAAGCACTGTGTAATCCTTGCAGTAATGATCTAAGTAAAACTCCAATTTTAAGGCCCTAAAACAACAAGAACAGATAAAATACAAATAACTAGGAAGGTATTAGAATCTCTACCCTCAACAGTTAGCATTCATCAACAGAACTTTCCAATTTAAAAACATACTTAGGAGAAAAAAAGATAATCAAACCCAGAGCCTCTTTATTCTATTTCTGGACTTTCCAGTGCCCAGTATGATAAGTGCATCCTCAAATACTTTTGCTAGACAAATTTTGTGCACGTGAAACTACTGTAAAAACACTGTGATCTCGGTTCTATTCCATTTCCTATTAGCTGTTTTTCTTCAACAAACCATCACTAGAACCTCAATATTTTCTTCCAGAAAATGGGGAGATACCAGTTAATTCACTGTGAAGTTTTAAAACTAAATAAAATATGTAAAAAAATCAGAGTCCATGATTAGGGTTGGAAATCATTTCATTACAAAACAATTTTCATGATAGTAATGATTTGTCCTAAGAGAAATAAAAAAATTAAAAGTGCCATGTCTCAGAATACAACTTCTTTATCTCAAGGAAGATCACAAAAATTAGAAAACTTGCTGTAATATTAACTCAGATGTTGATATTTTTATTCCATTCAATTTTATTTATTATCAAGGGTCACAATACCCAAGTGTGTGACCTTTGGAATTCAGTGTTAAACAGAGTGCTGGCAAGGCTGTGAAAGTGCAGTGTTAGCACCATTTAAATGTAGGTCCACTAGGAACCTGAAAGACACAGAAGGCGACAGCACAAGTGCAGCACAGAGCCCACAGCTAGCCAAGCGTCATGGTCTTGGAAACACACTCTGACAGGTTTTCTCATCACGAATGGGGATCATGATTCTCTGGCCTTGTTGACAATTTATGTAGCTAAACTGCAATTCTCTGAACTGTAAGCACTACTAGAATGTAGGTATTGTTACAGCATAGCAGGTATTGTCATAGACCTTCCACCACAGTGCAGGCAGTCAGCTTGTCAACATGAAATGCTCTTCGGGTCACCCCCAGTGTTTAACATGTTTCCTGACTTCCTGCTGATCTTAGGACAAAGATGACTCACAAGCCCTTACATGGCCAGTATCTTCAAATAATTCTGTGTTTTGCAAAAAAATGCTCTGGGTTCTTAAGAAGGCCAATTTCTGAGTCACCTGAGCACTCCTGGAAGTTTTCACTCTACACACAGTATTTACCTTGCCAACTGAACAAGGGGGATCAACAATTGAATGAATTCCTTCTCCCATCAGAGTATTCCATTTAGGCTCCTCAGAGACCCAGTGAAGAAGGAAAAAGATTGCAGGTGTGTGAGAGAAGTGTAGAGGAATCCAGACTGAGATTCTGTGACAAGTCTTCATCCTTCATCTGAGAAACTTTCCAAAGGATTCAGACACAAAGATCTGTTCAAAAGGTGAGACTCAACCTTCTGGTGGTGGTCTGAATTCAGTAAATACTCCCAATCCCGAGAAGAAGAAACAGATATTGATTTTTAAATCATGCCTCCTTGTAATTAGGGGGGTGGGAGTGATCAAGGAGGGGTGATGGGGGGAAAAGAAAAGGAAACATATGTAATACTTTAAACCAGTGTTAAACTCAACCTTCCTAATGCCGAGACCCTTTAATACAGTTCCTCATGTTGTGTTGACCCCCAATTTCATTGTTACAAATTGAACATAATTAAAGCATAGTGATTAATCACAAAAACAATATGTAATTATATATGTGTTTTCCGATGGTATCAGGCGACCCCTTTGAAAGGGTCGTTTGACCCCCAAAAGGCTCACGACCCACAGGTTGAGAACCGCTGCTTTAAACAATAAAAAAAATTCAACTAAAGCAATTCAAGTTCCATTTTCACATTAAGTTGATCTAAGAATGTGAAAAGAAAAAATCACAATGCTGGCCCAGCAGGTGTGGCTCAGTGGTTGAGCATCAATCCATGAACCAAGAGGTCATGGTTCAATTCCTGACCAGGGCACATGCCCAGGTTTCTGGTTTTATTCCCAGGAGGGAGTGTGCAGGAGGCAGCCAACTGATGACTCTCTCATCAGTGATATTTCTATCTCTCTCCCTCTCCCTTCCTGTCCCTGAAATCAATTAAAACATTTTAAAAATTAAGTAATCACAATGCTGGAAAATGAAAGGAATACCAAAACACCTAAATGATTTTAGTGATA